CGACGCAGTTAACATTCGAAATTATGCTAAATTTAACAAACTTACATTGAGCATCATGCTCATTTTTTAGCTCAAGAGGGATAGTAATGCTAAATGTACATTAATTTCCTTACATCAATTTTTGACGTCCTCTTTATTTTTAAAAAATAAAAATTTTAAAATTTGTGGACAGGAAAAGTTTTTTTTTTAATGAACTGTCCAATAATGTGTTATCAGGTGGTACAAGATATACAATGATGTACGTATGACATGATTCTAGAAAGGAATGTAGGTCAAATCAAATTGTGGTCGTACCGCTAAGATCTAATTGTGAGCATTCTCAAAGGTGTTGGATTTGAATTTCTAGGACATCGTCATTGCCATTCATTCTCAAAAGTCTGGTATCTCATTCGAAAAGCTTCGTGACAAATTAACCAACTATGAATTGTTTGTATAAAAGAGAGACAAGGAGAGTCTATCCATCATTGTCAATTCAGTCAACGAAACCCTCATAGGCTGACCCATCATAGGCTGACCCAAGACGACTACCCCAACTACGACTTCAACATTAGACACCAACCAGAACCTGCAATTTAAACAACAATTGCAATTTGAAGTGTCTTGCCCCTAATGGACTGGAAAATATTGCAAAAATTGCTAGCCTCATTCGAGTCAAACACATACATGAAAGCCCATTGAATCTCAAAGGATCTTACCAAAAAGAGCCAACTACGGTGGTATGTGTGCGCTAATGGTCAGCTGTCACTCAACTATATACTTAACAAACTAAAACTTCTCCAAACATCACAACTATGTAGATAGTGTCAAGCTAAAATCGACACCACCCCTTGTGTAATTAGCTCTGGTAAAGAGGAGTTAATAGTCCCAATAATCACTAAACATATGCATATATTTTCGACTACTCACAGAAATTTTAGAGGTAGAGTTTTGGCTACTAAACTTATCAAAATATTGGATGTTATTCATTGGTATCCATTTCACAACTGTAAAGGAATTGATGATATGGAAGACGGAATGCACAGGTGGCGCCCAAACACCATTATGCAAATTGCCACATAAGAAAGACGTCTTTGATTACTCACTATAATTTGGAAAATATTTTTGATTGCTCATTATACTTTTAAAGTCGTTTTTTATTGCTCATTGTACATTAAGATGATTGAAGTTTGGCCATTAAACTTGTAAAATTGATGTCGACATGTTATGAAAATTTACAAATGTTGATCCAAGTATCATTTGCATACAATAAAATTTAATTTTGTAACATGTTATAAGGGATGTTTCAAGACATTTTATAATATAGATGATTGATTTTCAAGATCTAAACATCTAGATGCTTGGCTTTGCTAAGCCATTTTTGATAACCCTGTGCCTTGTACGTGTTGAAGTTAACTTGGACGATTTACATTTGTTAGATAAATACTGATCAACATTTGCAGCTACTAATTAAAAACAAAACGATGAAGAGGGATAAAATAAATGGCAAGAAAAAATTGACGATTATGATAATTAATTTTAAAATATGTACGACATTCACCAAAAAAATTCATACAAGTAAATCAACATGTATTACTTGCAGCCAATATTTCTATGCAGCCAACAACATGCACCAAAAATCATCCAAGAACATCCACCATAAGCATGTGCATTAATGAAAATATTTGCAGCTTCTAATTATATATATATTTTAAAAAAAGTCCACCATAATTATGTCATCTATCAAAAACGGACCTTGCTGTTTGTATAGGGAGGGTTTGACACCCTCCCTGACAGAACAGACTCATAGGGGGAGGAGGGAGCAATTTTTTATCATTTTTTTTTCACTCGGGTCCCACGCGAATGTGAGAATCTGTCAAGAAGGTGGTAAACTATTTTTCTGTACAAATGATATTTTCCATCAAAAACACATGGAGCAGACACTTCCAGTTCACCAAAATTCTGTCATCAATAAAAAAAGCCCTCCCTTTTGTTTACCCACCATTTAGAAGCTTCGATTTGAGGACCATCCAGAGTTGGCCATAAAGAAGATTTGCTCGTCGGATTAAGTTAGTTTTCATAGCAAGTCAAGTAAGTCTCAACTGAATAGCACCAACTGAATAGCACCCGTTCACACACAAAAAAAAAATAAAAATTATTGTATGCAAGTAATACTTGGAACAGCATTCTTAAATTTTCAGGACATACCAACAATAGTTTTACAAGTTTAATAGCCAAAACTGGACCACTTTAAAATATAGTGAGCAATCAAAGACTTTTTAAAAGTATAGTGAACAATTAAAGACTTTTTTCAAAGTATAGTAAGCTACCAAAGAAGCTTTTCTTACGTGGTATTTTGCATCTTGTTGTTCGGGCGCCACATGTACATTTCGTCTGTCATGTTATCAATTTCATTAAAATTGTAAAACAAGTGTCATGCCATAAGTAATGTCCAACATTTCAATAAGTTTAGAGGTCAAAACTCGACATCTGAAACTCTAATAAGCAATCGAAGATACAATCACGAGTTTAGTTATTATTAGGACAATTAACTTGGTAAAGAGATGTGAAATATAAAGAAAAGGAAAATCATCACTAGTAAAGAGAGAACAATACCAGTATAATCACCAAGGCCTTTTCAGGCAACAGTATCATAAAGAACTGGATTGGCTTCTAATCTTTCTGTGAATTTCTCGAGAATTTCCTTCAAGAGAACCATGAGTTAATCATTCTCTGCTTCGGAGTCTCTTTTTTCGCTCTCCATCTCAATAAATTCTTCATCAAAGAGAATCACTGTTTCATCTACTTTTGAAGGTGGTAAGCCCAAATCCTTCCCACTTTTCTCCAAAAAAAAAAAAAAATGACTTAAAATTTTTAAAATTCATGATTTTCACATATAAATTTAAATGATCAAGAATCATAACTTGATCCATGGCAATAATTGAAATATTTAAATTTGCAAAAGAGAAATTAGTAAAACCAAAAAAACTACTCTATCTTTTTACCTCTTTGTAATTAAATGTATGTATTTGATGGGTTTTATTCACGCTTATAGGCAGAGAGGCCGTTTTCTCATGGGCCTTAAAACTACCAACTTTCATTAAAGTGGATAGTTATGAAACTGTCATTTCTTAATGAGCCAATAGAATTTTAACATATAAAATCACTTTAATTAATTACTTAATAATATTACGTTGGCCACATTAATTGGTCTTACATTCTCCCACTTGGGCCATGTAATATTGCATCATCATGTAGCCTGTAAAATAATGGGCATATGATAAGCTAAAATTCTTCATACATTGGTCACTTAATAAATCATTTTTAAGTAAAGACTAATAAGAGTCATGACAATTTTACACCATCATTTTGCATAGTTCCTTCCATGTACTACAATATTAGTCCTCACCTAACATGACACGTAATGATTAGTGCAATAATTGAATGACAATAATGTCTTCGAAAAGACTATTCCTGTCAGAATTCATATAATCCATTCATTTATATATACCAACTATTATGATAGGAATAATATTTTTTTGTCAAAAACAATACATAAACGAGTTCAATGTGTCAATTACATAAATTCTATAATGTCAATGATCATTTTCAATAATGCCAATTATTTCAACATGTTCATTAAATATCTTTGGTGACAATCATTTCGTTAGTGGATCTGCAATAATAAAATTGGTGCTAATATGTTCGATTGACACATTTTGTTTTTGAAATTCTTCTTTAATAGTAAAGTACTACAATTTTATGTGTTTAACACCTTTAGAGTACTTGTCGTTTTTTGAAAAGAAGACGCTGCAAAATTGTCACCATAAAGTTCCAGTGACTTGACAATGTTATTGACAATATTATTGACAATTTCATGCCCTGAAATAAAGTTCCACAACCAGTTTCCTTGAAATGTGACCTCGAAGTAAGCCACAAACTAACTTTTATAGTGGATGCAGCAATGACGAGCTGCTTTACACTTTTCCATGATATAGACCCTCTAGCCAAGAGTAATAGATAGCCAAATGTGGACTTTCTAGTATCAACACATCCAACAAAGTCTGAATATGAATACCTAATGACCTTCAAGTTATCAGATCTCTTATAAGTGAGTATCTGGTCTTTCGTTCCTTGCAAGTATCTTAACACTTTCTTCACAGATTTCCAATGATCAAGTCCTAGGTTACTTTGATACCTACCTAGCAGCCTGACAGTAAAATTGATATCTAGCCTGGTGCAAGTCTGAGCATACATTATGCTCGCAATAAGAGATGAATAAGGAATAGCTACCATTTGTTTGCATTCCAATTCATTTTTAGGATATTGCATGAGACTAAATTTGTCTCCTTTCTATATTAGAATGACACTTGATGAAAATTTGTCCATCTTAAATCCTCTAAAACTTTATTGACTATGCTTTCGGAGATTGCCCTAACAATCCTTGTGACATGTCTTGGAATATTTCAATTCCAATCAAATAGGTTGCCTATTCCATATCTTATATTTCAAAATTTTTAGAAAGAAACTTCTTGTCTCATGTAATATATTAAGATCATTAAAAGCTAACAAGATGTCATCAACATACGGAACCAGAAATATAAACTTACTTCCATTGACCTTTAGATATATACATCGATCAACGATATTTTCCTTAAATCCAACGTAAGTAATGTTATCGCTGAACTTAATATACCATTGACGGGAAGCCTGTTTAAGTCCATATATTGATTCTTTAACTTATACACCATATGTTAATCTTCGTCAACTAAAAAACCTTCAGGCTGTTCTATATAAACTTCTTCATTCAAATTTCCATTTTGAAAGGCAGTTTTCACATCCATTAGATGTAGCTCTA